AAGTCAAGGAACAAAAACCTGTTTCATGATTTGGAGCCACACAATACAACATGCAGGAACTAAAATAAATGATGTCCAGGTTTTGCTTATCGTATATATCTGACCCAATGCATCGCGACTGGCTGAAGTACAGGTGAAATCGGAGACGTTGAGGGTGTTCAACTCTTTCAGGGTGGATTTATTCAATCGTCATCCTCTTAATCTCTGGAGAAACAACACATCTTCCTCAGATGATGCTTCCATCGATATCAAGTATCAGCATTAGAGAGGCAATTTGAACATTTTTTCTGAATGAATAAAGTTGATTGTACATCCAAAAATGAAAAGTTTGTCATTATTTATTAATTTCAGACTTGTTCAAAACTAGTTTGAGTTTGTTTCTTGTTGAAGACAAAAGAAGATATTTTGAAGAATATAGCCACTGACTTCCACAGTATTTGTTTATTCTACAATGGATGTCAATGGTCATGGGTTTGCAACATTCTTCAGTACATCTTCCTTTGTGTTCAATAGAAGAAAATGATGAAGAAAATTTTTTTTATTTTTGTTTGAACTATCCAACACAATGTCAAGGCAATTCATAACTTTTTGATTTAAAGGCTAATTCGTATGAATTCGTACGATCTAATTCGTACAATTTAGTACGATTTGATCTTTACCAAATGACAGTTGGGTTTAGGGGTGGGGTTAGGTGCCACGCCTCCTTTTTAAAATCGTAAAATTTCATTTGACTGAACTCGTACGAATTTGTACGAATTAGCCACTAAACTGGCAAAACGTAAAATACTTACGTTTTCTCATGAGATCAGGCTGGAAATATTCCTTTAAGTGGTCTCTCATCCAGATAATAGCTCCTAAACACTGCTAATCTTTCCCTAGAGACTCTGATTATGAGCTGAATAAAGGTGAATTTGCTGTCAGTTCTGTTTTATTTCTCATTTTTTAATCATTTAAGCACTGACTCTGTTATGCTGATGTCAGCAAACCTTACTGCTAACTATTTTCAGTATTGTAGCATACAACCAATGACTTGTATATTGAGATTATATAAAGAGGTTTTGCATTAATTAAATTGATTTATTGTATAACAAAAATCATAGAACAAAATTTCTGGTATTTTTCTGGACTTTGAGGGTGAGGGAGTTCTCAGATTTCAGAATTACTGATATCAGAAATGATCTAGGAGGAGTAGGGGGTGGTGGAGGGCCTTTCTTCAGTTTTGTTGTGTGTGTGGGTGAAAGTGTACATTACTAACACTGACCCTAATGACTTGTATATTGAGATTATATAAAAAGGTTTTGCATTAATTAAATTGATTTATTTTGTTCTGTTTTGAAACAGCCAGTGCTTTTATGTATGATACAGTTGAAGTCTGAATTATTAGCCCTCCTGTATATTTTTTCCCCATTTTCTGTTTTAACGGAGAGAAGATTTTTTAGCACATTTCTAGACATAATAGTTTTAATAACTCATTTCTAATAACTGATTTATTTTATATTTGCCATGATGACAGTACACAATATTTGACTGAATTCAAGAGACTAGTATTCAGCTTAAAGTGACATTAATTGATTATTTTCTCTTCGGCTTAGTCCCTTTATTAATCTGTGGTCGCCACAGCGGATTGAACCGGCAACTTATACAGCATATGTTTTACACAGCGGATGCGCTTCCAGCCACAACCCATCACTGGGAAACACCCATAGACTCTTATTCACACATACACTACAGACAATTTAGCTTACTCAGTTCAACTGTACCACATGTTTGTTTTTGTTTTTTTGGACTTTCGGGGGAAACCAGAGCACCCAGAGCATTGCAGACAGTTTCACACTGCTGTGATAAACAAAAACACATTTGCAAAAAAACTAATATTAGGAAATAGCATGTGCTAGATTTTAGGGCAGACATTGTTATGTAAGGGATCATTTCGATGACAAAACAAAATACTGACAAACCCACAACATTCTTCATGATTAGTTTGAGATATAGGGAGAATGTACACAAATAGGCCTACTATAAACATATCTAGCACTGAACAACACTGATGCTGCAGACTGAATATTTCAAGTATTTATTTCAATTCAAGAAATACAGTATTTCTGTGGAGATATTGTTGAACTCTTTGTCCAGCTTCCATCAGTGTTAGTTCATGGTCAATAAGTGTTGCACAGATTTCTTGAGTCAAACTTGGGCGTCTTCTGTGTTCAGGTTCTATCAACTCTTCAAGTCCTTCTGTTCCTCTTCCTCTACCTCCTCTTCCTCTACCTCATTCTTCTCCTCTTTGAGCTCCCCCTCTCATTCTCACTCTTCTTCTAGCTCCTTCTATTTTTGATGAATACAGGTGAACTCACCTGCTGCCTTTTATAGCACACCTGAGTGCTGCGTTTTCAAATTAGCATATGTGTGCCTCTACACCTTGTGGGTGTGATTATCCTATTCGTTCATTAGCGTGGTCATTGGCAATCCAGGCTTTATAATGACAAGGAAGTAACCTCACAATCCTTATCTGCCTAATGGCTTGATTCCACTGACAGTACAGTCTGGTTTGGATCGGTACGGGTCACCTTTATCAGGCTTGCGTTTCCACTACCAAGGGTACCCTTTTGGTGGGCGTGGTGTATGACAGAAAGTTTCAATCGCATCATTCTTGCTCGAGGAAATGTCTACAATAAAGCTGTACAGGTTACACACATAAATATTTCTGTATAAACTTTTTTATAGACAGGATTATAACTATACAGATCAATGACAGTGCGAAATAGCCTACTGTAATTATCTTAATCATATTAAATAATAATATAATAATTTATCTGTAATTGTATTAAATAAATAGATAAATAAATAAATAAATGAACATATATGAACACATACAGCCCCTGAACACATAATTACCCCTACCGGTAATTGTCAACAACAAACTCTTCCGCCTTAAAGCTTAGCCTATGCTGGTTGACTGACTCCTCATTTGCATTTGATTTATCATTTGCGATGTCAGTTTGAGGATTTGATTCACCATTTGCGATGTCGGTTTGAGGATTTGATTTATAGTTTGAGCATTTGATTCACCATTTGCGATGTCAGTTTGAGGATTTGATTTATTATTTGCGATGTCGGTTTGAGCATTTGATTTATAGTTTGAGCATTTGATTTATCATTTGATCTTTTAAGCATTTGAATTTTCATTTTAATTTTGTTAGGAAAAAACTTCCATAGCCAATAAAGCCAATTTTAATAAAATTGTATTGATTGAGCTCTGAATGTTCTGTGAAGGTCCCCAAAATAAAATCAGAAGGTTCTAGGAACATTACTGCACAATGCCCTTACACCGACAGTGACATTCTGAGAACGTTCTAGGAACGTCACATTTCTAGCTGAGTAAACACTAGGGGCCTCATGCATGAAGACTTGCTTTGAATTCATACTAAAACATTGCATACGCAGTAAAAAAATTCAGATGTATGAAACACTGCGTACACAGAATTCCACGCATTTTCTTTTTGTGGATCCAAATTAACGTGAAACTGAGCGCACGTGCACAAGCACAAAACCCCTCCCTGCCTCCTCCCCCTAATAAATATGGTAATAATTCTACTTTGGCAAAACGAAAAAGCAATAAAAAAGCAAGCAAAAAGAGAAACTTCACAGAATATGAACTGGTGGTAGACCAGAGAAAAACGGTTATTTGCAAATTTGTCCTCCGGAATTACTAACAAAAAATGAATAAAAAGAAAGAGTGGGAGAGTTTAGCTGATGCGGTTAATGCAAGGAGTCTGAACATCGCACTGTGAGTGAATTAAAAAAGAAATAGTCTGATGTAAAGGTGTAAAATTTTGTAGTGTCTATTTAGGCTAAGTGCAAACAGCACACCTCGTTGGAATGAGCTAGTTGAGTGATTTCGCCCATCACCGTTTGATATAGAGACAACATAACTAAAGATACTGGCAAACAGCAGTGTGAATGGCGTAGCTCGTAAAGAGCATGGCCACGTTTTGACACAATCGATCATGAACCCGGTTCAAATCCAGCATGAGCATCTGATGAACATATTCTTTTTTTCTCTACTACATATCAGTTTGCCTACTCTTCATCACGAGGAAGACAAGTAGGAATTATTTACAAATTTATTGAATGGAAATGTTTCCGATTCACGTATTGTGGTGTTTTTATAATTTTGACATGTTTTCCATGCATAAGAAGGCTTAAACAATTAACCTATAAAGTGTTAATTATTGTGAAACTGTCAGAAGTGTTGCAAACGGCTAAGTGCTGCAAATTGCATGCACAAAATACAGAAGTGTCACAAGGGTGCAAAGAAAGGGCAAAGAGTTCTGAGAAAGGACAGGATGTATGAGCTGTGTGTGTGTTAAGAGGAGACATTTGCCTTAAAAGGTTAACTCTTAAGAGAAGATGCACGGAAGACAACTGTGGTATAAAAGGATGTGTCTCTGAAGGACAGTTCAGAGTTGAACCTCTCCTGCGCAGTGTATTGCTTTTGGTTTCTTTCCTGCTTGAGCAAATAAAACTTATAATTTTTGACAGATTGACTCCGAACCCATTTTTGAACATGCACTGGACCCTTTGAAGTCCAACAATTTTGGTGACCCACGACGTGATGGGAAAAGGAGGAATTTTGCTGAACAGAGGGATGAACTGAATTCAACACAAAGGCGCGCCTAAAAAATAAGGTAAGCAGAAACCTTTTAAATAAATTCTGCGATTGAATACTGCAAATTAAGTGTTGAATTCAGCATAATCCTGATGTAAGTAAAATACAGAGAAACCAAAAGTAATGTTTTACATTTTTTTACATTTTTTGAAGAGTATCAGGGTAAATTGTTAGAATTTAAAGGAAAGGCCTTGTCCCTGCAGGGTAAATTTAGGGTGAATTACTAGAATTCAAATAAAATCCTTGTCCCTACAAGGTATAAGGGCGAATTTTCGCGCAAGAGAATTCGAAGGAAATCCTCTTCCCTTAGGAGGTAAAAAATTAAAAGTGACCCTACTCTTGACGAAGGTAGAAAGCTTTTAATACCAGGGACAAAGACAGAAAGTCATGTCTTTGTAAGGAAGTCCCCCTCCCTGGGGAGGCATTTTTGAGAGTCACTCTTGTTCTGACGAGAACCAGATACTTTCAAAATAAAAATTGAGAAGAAAAAATAATTTCCTGAGAAAGACTGATTGCAGTATCAGGAACGGATAGAGTAGGGAACAAAAAATAAATAATAAAAAAATTAAATAAAAATAAAAAAAAAATAATAATAAAAAAATTCTGAAAAGACGTAGGGACAGCTTAGGTAGCCCCGGGCGTGGGTGACGCCGTATACTGAGGGTCAGATTAGGGAACAGAGCTCAAAACATCTAACGCGCGAATACAGGAAAGACGTCGTGTGTAACTCTCTTCACAACAACACAGACACAGGTTGTTTCTCCAGAACGGGCGTTTATTTAAGGTCGTCCATAATGTTCTTTGCGGCTGTTGCCGTGACGCCGTGACGCCGTGAGAACTGTATTAGTAAATGAACACAGTACAAACGTATAAGCAATTATACAAACTACGATTATCTAATACATTATTAAGCAAAACAAATACCTCGTTGGTCGCTTGTCATGAAAAGAGGGTCCTTGGATTAATAAAGTCTTCTTCACTGTCCTTTGAATTATGACAGCAGCAACTTTATGCTTCTTAAACACATGTAACTTTACACAGCACTGACATGCGTCTGATCATCGTCAGTCTATCCGGGGATCCATAAACAAGTCACTCACATTACACGTCATTTCCTCAAAGTGACACGTTTCCATAATAAACGTCTTAAAGTACAACATATGAAATAATAACACATTTGAACCTTTCAACACGTTTACATTTATAAATACACCTCAGCTAAATTAATACAAAATATTATGACCTTAAATTACTAAAGGATGAAATATGAAACAAATATGTATAATAAATATGCGATTATGCAAAAATGCTTAATAACAGCACTTACACTCCCACCAAAATCTCCTTTACTTGAAATGTGAGATTTTCTATAAACAATTATTGAAGTTAAATCAAGTTTCAGAGTGTAATTGTGTCATGTGCCTGACTTAACTGGCTTCAATTAAAGTGACTACCTTATGAACTGGCCTTTCTAAATACACTAATCTAGATTGTGGCTTCCCTTTGACCAATGTAGTGTCACTAAGTAGTAACTTCAACTTTCTTACAATGCCATCAGCACTTGAGTATGTTTCCACTACTCTAGCAAGCTTCCACTCATTTCTCTGAGCACTCTCATCTTGAAGTATCACAATGTCATTTACTTGTGAATTTCTTGATGTTCTCTGCCATTTCTGACGTAGCTGGAGATTTAGCAAATATTCTCGTTTCCATCTCTGCCAGAATTCATTTGCGAGGAACTGCACTCTTTTCCATCTTTTACGCAGATAGAGGTCTTGCTTATCAAAGTTTCCTGGTGGTGGTACAATGACTGAAGACTTCATAGTTAGTATGTGGTTGGGAGTGAGGGGTTCTGGACCAGTAGGATCGTGAAGATGTTCAACACTTAATGGCCTGCTGTTGATTATGGCCATTGTCTCATAGAGGAATGTTCTAAGAGTCGTTGAGTCAAGTCTGCAAGCAGATCCATCGAGCATGGCATTCAAGATGCTTCGTATTGTCCGTATCTGGCGCTCCCACACTCCGCCCATATGACTCGCTGAGGGAACATTTACTACAAATTCACAACCAATAGCTCGAACACGTTCTTGATCCATCCCTCTGAGCAGATCAGAAAACTCTCTTCTGGCACCCATGAAATTTGTTCCCTGATCGCATCTTATTTGTCGCACAGGTCCCCTAATAGCTACGAACACCCTAAGAGCGTTGATGAAGGCATCTGTCGTCAAATCATCTAGAGTCTCTATGTGCACTGCTCTAGAGCACAAACAAGTAAACAGCAATCCATACCGTTTTAGTTCCTTCCTTCCTTCCTTTACTATGAAAGGGCCAAAACAATCTATTCCACAGCATGTAAAGGGGGGAGATGTCTCAGTTCTTTCTTCTGGCAAATCTGCCATTTTTTGAATCTCTGTAGTTCCTCTGTATCTTCTACATTTTACACATTTGTAGATATATGACGAGACCACACTTCCACATCCTAAGATCCATATTCCATTCGCACGTATCTCATTCATTGTCATGCCCCTTCCTTGGTGGTATATGCGCTCATGGTGATGTTTGACGAGTAAGGCAGATATATGAGACCTTTTTGGAAGTAACGCAGGATGCTTTACATCATAATCTAGGCTTGATCTTGTTAGCCTTCCTCCCACCCTGAGAAGACCTTCCTTGTCCAAGAAAGGACTCAATCGATGCAAATTGCTGTGTTTGTTTAGATAATTTTCTTTCTGAAGTTTGATATGTCGAATGTCTTCGGCGAAGGCATCATCTTGTACAATTTTAATTATGACATTTTCTGCTGCCTTTCTTTCTTCAAGACTAGTCATTCCATTCCTTCTTGGTTGAATTCCCTTGAATTCTCTGACAAACCTTTTAAGCCTGGCGACTGCTCTCACCAAACTTGACCAGTCTGAAAATTTTGCAAATCGAGTAACCATTAAATCGATCTCTTTAGTCCTGATGGTATGAATGTTGGTCTTGCGGAGCTCAGGGTCAGTAATTTCCAGATCCCTCACCACTTCCTCTTCACACAGAAGGATTTTCTGCCACAGAAAGTCAGGTCCTTTTAACCAATTGGACTCTTTTAGCTGAGCAGCACTCAGCCCTCTTGAGGCATAATCAGCAGGGTTGTTTTCTGAACTGACATGTCGCCATTGTGCTGGACATGTGCTGGACCTTATGCGTTGAATCCGATTTGCTACGAATGTGTGGAATCTTTTGGCATCATTGTTCACATAGCCAAGAACTACCCTTGAGTCAGTCCAGTAATATTCTTGCAAATCTTCAATCTCAAGCTCTCTTTTGACAATGTTTCCATTTCGGACTGAAGTCACAGCTGCTGATAGTTCAAGTCTCGGGATAGTTGTTTGCTTGGTGGGGGTTACTCTGGCTTTCCCAATAACAAGTGAGCAACTGATTTGTCCTGTTTCACTTGTTGCTCTAAGATATGAACAGGCACCATATCCACTAAGACTTGCATCAGAAAAGCTGTGTAGCTCATAAGAAACAGGCCTGTCAAAATTTGATGAAAGGTAGCTTCTAGGAATCTTTAAGTCAGCCAAATGGGGCAAATCTCGAAGCCATGACTCCCATTGTGGTAGAATATGCTCAGGCAGATCTTCATCCCAGCTTACTTTATCTTTGCACAATACTTGAAGAATCTGCTTGCCTACTAGTAAAAAAGGTGCTACAAACCCTAACGGATCGTAGACAGAGGCTACTGTTGAAAGAACACCTCTTCTAGTCATTGGATTTTTCTTGACTATCACTCTAAATTGGAATTCATCTGCTTCAATGCACCATTGAACTCCAAGTGCACGTTCTATATGAAGCTCTCCCAAAGCCATATCCAGATCTCTGGCCTGAGCACAGTCCTCAGGTGGTATTGTGGCTATCACTTCCATATCATTGGAAACAAACTTGTGCAGACGAAGATTTCCTGTTTTACACAAAGCTCTTGCTTCATCCACAAGATGTATAGCTTCTGCAGATGTACTTACACTTGTTAAGCCATCGTCGACATAAAAACTCCTCTGGATAAACTTGATAGCCTCTTCACTAAAGCTTCCATGACCTTGCGATGCTAAGTACTTGAGTCCAAAGTTTGAGCAGCCAGGGGATGAAGCGGCACCGAAAAGGTGTACTCTCATTCTGTACACAGAAGGCTTGGAATCCAGATTGCCATTGTCCCACCAAAGAAATCTCAAATAGTCTTGATGTTCCTTTGTAACATGAAATTGATGGAACATTCTTTCAATGTCACACATAATGGCTATTGGACCCTTTCTAAATCGACACAGCACTCCAACTAAGGTGTTGGTGAGGTCTGGACCAGTCAAGAGGTGATCGTTTAGAGAGGCCTCTTGGAAGCGCGCTGAACAATCAAACACCACACGAATCTTCCCTGGTTTGTGGGGGTGGTAGACTCCATGGTGCGGAATGTACCATGCTGATTTGTTATCAAGCTCAGAACTTGGAACTCTTTCAGCATCTCCTCGGCTTATGATGTCACTCATGAAGTGTACGTAATCTTCATAATACTGTTTGTCTCTCCTCAGTCGACGTTTTAATGAGATAAGTCTATGAATTGCAGATTGTTTATTATCTGGTAAACTAGGATTTTCTGTCTTGAAAGGAAGTGGGAGTTCAAGGTGTCCATCCTCTTTGTGTTTCACACCTTCTTTTACTTTAGACAAAAAGAGAATATCTTCTTGAGAAACTGGATTGTCATCAGCACTATGATCTGTGAAGTCTAACTCGAGTGCCTTAATTATGTCTGTGGGAAGTACTTCCTTGACTACATTTCGACATACAAAATGCACCTCTTGCTTTAGCTCAACTGATGGCTTCACTGTAGGCATCACTGGGCAAACTAAAGTTCTATGACTGACTCCAATCGCATCACCATAGTCATCTGCTGGATATGAGCATCCAACTATGCTCCAGCCGAGATCGGTTCGTTGTGGATATGGATGATTTTCTTCTCCAAATAAGATTTCCTTAGGCAGAAGTGCTTGCTGACAGTTGTAGCCAATCAAAAGTCCAACTTCACAGTCCAGTGCTGGTGGAATCTTATTTGCCAACTGCTCCAGATGAGGCCATTTTAAAGCAGTGTCAGACGTAGGTATATGTGACCTGTTCACTGGAATGAATTCACGTGTGAAAACTGCTGGCAGATGTATAATTTTCTCAGAATTATGCCCTCTCACCTGCAGACCAGAAACCTTATGACAACGTATGGTCGTTGACCTTGAGGACATCGTGGATAACTGCAAACTAGCGTTCTCCATGTTCACTTTAAGCCTTTGAGCTACTTCATCCAAGATGAAAGTGGTGTCACTCTGCGTGTCTAAAAGTGCATAGACAAGGATTTCTTGATCGGGCAGTTTTGTGGATGATACCCAAACTGGTATGATCGTGGATGTTTGTGTGTTTGGGCCTTCCTGCCTAACTGTATTGGTAATTGCAACGGCAACTATCTCCGTTCCATCAGCCTTTTCCTTTGAATCGCCACTTTCCTTCACAACAGACCTTTGATATTCTTTGAACTTGTCATCATGCAAACATGTAGGATGTCTCTTCTGACACCTTTCACATGTGCTCTTATTTTCACATCTTCTTGAATGATGACCAGTTTGCAAACAACCAAAACAAAGTTTTTCTGTGCGAACAAACTTGACACGATCCTGAACATCCTTCTCTATGAACCTTCTGCACTTTGCTAAGCCATGTCCTGTTCTTTTACAAAATACACATGCTGGGAAAGTACTCTGAGTTGTGTTTGTGTAAAATGTTTTTGCTTGAGAAGGCTGGTTTCGTGAGTATTTCGGTTTTGTAGCTTCCACACTCCTAAGTGCCTGTACCGAAGAAATAGGATCGCAGGCGAGATCCGACTCATTTGACAAGAAGTCTACAAACTCCTTGAATTTTGGGTAATCTCCATATACCTGTCTGAATTCCATCACCTTACGGTTCCATCTAGACACTAACCAATCTGGCAATTTTAGTAGAATCCTTTGATTTTCGTTACAGTCATTTAGAACCTCCAAAGTCTTCAGATGAGGCATCGCAGCTTCACAACTCTTGAGGAAGTCAGTGAATTCTCTTAGTTCACAACCATCTTTAGAGCTTATCTTTGGCCATCCATGCAGCTTATCTCTGAATGACTTCCCAATTATAAATGGGTCACCAAAGCGTTTTTCTAACAGCTGCCAAGCAGAATCATATGCTTCTTCAGTGCCAAGTAAGAAAAAACCTTCTACAGTTTTCTTTGCAGCGCCACCTAAGTATTTTCTTAAATAATACAGCTTCTCATTTTTTGGGATGTTTTTCCTGTCAATCAATGTCTCAAAAGAAAGACGCCAATCCTTGAATTTTAATGGATCTCCAGTAAACAATGCAGGCTCTGAAATAGGAAGACGATTGGCACTCATAACTTCTGCTAATGTGCTGACCAGGTCAGAACCATTTTGTGCTTGGGCCATTAATGGTGAATATAGTGAACCTTGAGGTGTGCGTTGTGAGAGATGATTTTGATCTTGGTGTACAACTGGCTGAGACTTTGGAATAAATGAAGGACTTGATGCATGTAGCACCTGCGTTGGCGCTGGCAGAGACTTATGAACAAAGGAAGAGCTTATGAAATCAGGAACTTTGTTATCAATGACTGATAGAGCATCTTGCTTCAATTCAGCTGCTTCAATGTCTCCTTCCGCTTGATCATAGACCCTAACTCGTGCTCTTGCAGCATTCAACTTCTTTATTTCCTCCAGGCGCTCAAGATTTCTGCGTTTATCTTGCATTGCTTGTTTCCTGGCCAGATCCTCAGATTCAAATTGTGCCATACGTAGTTTACTTTCTGCCTCTAACCTTTGAAGTTCAGATACTTCCCTGTCTTGCTCTTCCAACACCGCCAAGACTTCCTGACATGCAGCTGCTTCAGCTACAGCTTCATTTCTTTTGCCTGAGTGGATGCTAGAATGGGTTGAACTGCATTTAGTTTGATGAGACAGTGGTCTTGATAAAGAGCTTGTTGAGTCTAAGACTGATCCAACATCAGGCCAGGGTTCTTCAATTTCATCTGATGCATGCCCTTCAAGATGCATTTGTGCTCTTTTAACAATGAATCCTGAAAGCGATATGCACACATCAATCCTGAGTCGTAGGTCTTGTTCAGGAATTTGAACTTGACGTAGTTCTTCATATATGGCTTTCACATTAGAACAGCTGCTTTCAATATTGTGAATAAGCTCATTCAATTCTTCTTGAGAAGCTTCATCCGAGAATATTTCCTTACTTAATCTTGCATAATATCTCCACTTCTCATAAACTATTCTATACTGTCGCTTTAAACCCTTTAACTTAGCTTCTTGAAGCTCTTTTCCCTTTTCTGTAAGAGTTCTAGCTCTTTCACTTCTTCGCAGCTCTGTAGCTTCAGGTTGTGCAGGTGATATTTCCCCTTTACGGCAAGTCTCTGTTTGTGTATCAGACATTTTGATATAAATATTAATATTACTGTATATGTATGGTGTATGTAAACAAAATTAGTGAACTTAGACTGTGTAAATGTAGCTCAATGTAAAATGTAAATGTTTACTGTATAAAATCCTTAACGCCTGTTAAACTACATAAGAAATAAAATATAAAGTATGTATGTCAATATTGAATTAAAGTATTATCATGTAACAAATTCCCTTGTTAAAGAAATAATCAGCAATTAGTTGACTATATAGATGCAGTATAAACCTAAAATATTCCAAAAATAAACTCAAGTTAAATTTACTGACTAATCCTTTCACAAACCACTTTTACATCAGTAATATTGAACAAATAAATCAGTCGATTTCAATTTCAGTAACTAATGAACTTATCAATAACTTAAATGCACTCTTAAATAATACCAGATAAATATCAGCACATTAAATTTGTCCCAAAACTGAAGGCTGAGCAACACAATTAGATTTGAGTCCTTACTGCACTTTCAAGTTCAATCACTTCTCTGACCACCTTAACTGTGGCAGAGTACTTTCTGATTTCAGTCTGAAACGTTGCACTTTCAACTCAGTCTAATCATCACTGTGTGTAACTGCGTGTTACTTCGGCACTGTAACTTGAGCCCTCCTTATCTTCAGCTGGACGTTGTCTCGACGTTACCCGCGAGGACGTTGCTTTCATACCCGCGTCGATCTGCGTCGAGTTCTCACTGTAACTCTCTTCACAACAACACAGACACAGGTTGTTTCTCCAGAACGGGCGTTTATTTAAGGTCGTCCATAATGTTCTTTGCGGCTGTTGCCGTGACGCCGTGAGAACTGTATTAGTAAATGAACACAGTACAAACGTATAAGCAATTATACAAACTACGATTATCTAATACATTATTAAGCAAAACAAATACCTCGTTGGTCGCTTGTCATGAAAAGAGGGTCCTTGGATTAATAAAGTCTTCTTCACTGTCCTTTGAATTATGACAGCAGCAACTTTATGCTTCTTAAACACATGTAACTTTACACAGCACTGACATGCGTCTGATCATCGTCAGTCTATCCGGGGATCCATAAACAAGTCACTCACATTACACGTCATTTCCTCAAAGTGACACGTTTCCATAATAAACGTCTTAAAGTACAACATATGAAATAATAACACATTTGAACCTTTCAACACGTTTACATTTATAAATACACCTCAGCTAAATTAATACAAAATATTATGACCTTAAATTACTAAAGGATGAAATATGAAACAAATATGTATAATAAATATGCGATTATGCAAAAATGCTTAATAACAGCACTTACATCGTGGAAGAAGAATATGAGAGGGAGTGTTAAAGGAAAAATAAATGAGAGAAAAAGTTAATATTACAATTTGAGGAACATAAAGAAAATATGAGATATACTGTATATATATGACATACTATAGAAAATATGAAATATACTGTAGAACAGGGACTAGAAGAAAAGGTTCTAGAGAACCAGGATTAGGACAGTGTAGGGAAAAGCACTGACCTGACGAGGTCATGTGTTGGTATGAATGAGATAAATGGTAAAGAAGTGTGAGGATGAGTGACACCACACCCTGAAAACAATGTTAATGTGAAGGTTAAAAGTATATGTGTAGTTGTGTCTTGAACAGGAACTAACAAAAGAACCACCAAGAAAAGGAGAACTGAGAAGACAACTAGCTGAGTCTCTCGGGTCCAAGAGAGGGAGGCAACCAGGAAGGAGACCACTGCAGAAGGAGGTGACACACTAACACATACACATATAGAAAAAGACCAAAAAGAAAATTTCAATTCACCACAAAGTAGTCTACAAGCTTTGCAATTGGTCCACAAAACTGGGGATTTATTTACAGAAAGATACGGGGCTGACAACGTAAAGGCAGACAGGCTTAGACAGACATGAAAAAAGGAAGATAACTGGAGCCATGCCTTTTCATGAGGAAAAAACAGTTAGGCTGAATATAGTAAAAGAAAATATAAAAAAATAATCATATATATTTGATCAAATACTGATAAATGTTCACATAATAATTAGAGATTTAGTATAAGTTACTAATTAAACGGATCTATTATATTGCAGGATAAAAAGACAAGTGAAATAAAAAATAATGGGAGATATGCTTAATATAGTTATAATAGTTTAAACAGACCTTGAAGCTATATGAATAAATAAATAAAATAAATAAGTATAATAATAAATAATAAAGAGAAATTAAAATACAACATAAAGACCAGATACTAAAGAAACATTAGAAGAGATACATTGGAAGAAAGATGAAGAACTGAAATAAAAGATTGCAAATCAGCTGTTAAACAGCAAAGGGATAAAATCAGCTGTTAAACAGCAAAGGGATAAAATTGAGGAGTCTTCGGTCGATGGAGAGGAAAATTAGAAAAGAAAATTTGACTGGTTGAAAATGGTTAACTGAAGTGATACTGGCCAAATAAATAAGGAAGATAATAATATAATAACAAAAAAATAAGGAAAAATTAAAAGCTAAGAAAAAAAGACTCCTAATTATTGTTTAATAGAAATAAATGTCAAAAGATTATAGTTTAAAATATGTCTAAAATATATATATATAAAAAAAGAGAGATATTAAACAGATGAGATAAAAACTAGAAAAAGCAATAACTCTTTAACGAAGTAACCATTTGAGGAACTAAGACTTGATATTAGAGGATGAAATTGTGTTTAGGTGCAAAAAAATAAAAAAATAAAAATAATAATAATAATAATAATTAAAGAAGATTATAATAATAATAAAAGTTTGTTGTTATTCTAAGATTACTAATGGAGAATTGAGACAATTTTAATAGGTAGCTAATACAAATGAATGTCAATCAGACACTCCTTTTGGCAAAGTAGCAACTGCGTGGGGCACAGTAATAAGGAGAAAATTTTCTGCACCACCTGGTGCTATTCATAACATTAAGTCCACCCCTAAGGCAGATGAAACATCAGCAGCATATGTATTGAGATGTAAACTGGAGTGAGAAGCCCAGACTGGGACACATATTCATGCTAACCAATTTATGAAGGAGTGGTTGAGGATAATTCAAGCTGTGTTAAATAACTAAAAAAAAAAAAAAAAAAAAAAAAAACCTGACATACCAGGAAGTGCTTCGGCCACCTGGGAGAGACACTTGCTCCATCACATCAATAGAGCTAAAGATAAAGCTGATGAGAGTCAGTCTGAGACTGAGGAACTGAAAAACCAGTTAGTGAAATTACAAGTGAACAAAGCCAGACAAGAAGTCAATGATCAAATGAGAAAGATAAAGGCAAACAATTGGTGCAGTTACCTGACCCTGAACAATCTTACATGGCACCTGTGTACAAACAGCCATCAAACCAAAAACCTAAACACCAACCTCAATTTAGAAGACAGAATAGGGGAGGCATTAGGGTCAAGGGGGTCCCGGGGGCTTACAGAGGGTGTGGATTTGGAGAGGGTTGTTTCAGGTGTGGCCGCCTATGTCAGCTACATCGCAACTGCCAGGCTAGTCAATGCTACACGTGCAATCAGCTAGGACGCATTTCGACAAGATATCACAACGGACAAAATCTGTATGCCAAGAGAGGGGGCGTGCAAGGAGGCAAAGGCTTTGTGGCACCACTTGCAGGGCAAGCTCCAAACCCTGGAGGACAGAACCCAGGGCAGGGTGGAACACAATATCCACTCTGGGGAAGATGGGACTATTTCTGAAGAGGCCCACAGGAAGACCTAAGCGAGGCTAAGGTGGAGCAACTGTTATCTATGAAGGGTCAACAAAGACTGTCTGGACTTTTTTGGTCAACACGGGTGCGACTTATTAAACATTGATTAACCCTGTCAATCAGGACTTGATTTCACAAAAAAAAAAAAAAAAAAAAAAACTGTGGAAGTAATGGGTTTCACTGAGGAATGTGAAAGACTGTCTTTAACTGAGCTAATACCAGTGTCTGTTGATGGACAACAACTGAAACATCACTTTCTGTTGTCAGACAGAGCCCACACGAACTTATGGGGCAGAGACTTGCTGATAAAGCTTGATGAATCATTCCATGGTATGCTGATGGTGTTATGGTGAGATTTCCTACAGGGACTACTAAGAACTGTTCACTGGGTACACCTCACCTGCGAGGACAATGGTTGCTGTCATCGATGCGAGAGCCTGTAGGAGCTGACATTTACTGGGGCAAACTGTAGCCAGAAACCATGCTGGGAGACGGCCTTCTCTCACTTTATGCTCAATGGAGACCTTGGGTAACTCTTATTGCACCATACATGCCTCCCACCAACCCACCGCACATGACTTTATTCTGTGACCAAAACTAAACTGAAAGAAAAAATTTATAAGAGTGTGGTTGGCAGATTAACTAAACATATATGGGTCACAAGAGAAAGAACGTAAGAAACGTAAGAAAGAATGTAAGAGAAAGAACAGATAATGAGGTGACGGCACCAATGCTATACAGTTTACCAAGCCAATTATGGTCTACAGGACCAGCAGATGTGGGTTTTTGCTCCTCACTTTCAGACATACATTAAAATTTAATAAAGGAGTTAAATAATGAAAGGCCGATTTGGCAGCCACAGTATCCTCACAAACCACAAGCTGAAGCAGGTATTGCAGATACAATTAAAGAATTGTTGACTATAGTTGTGTTAGAGCCATCGACCTGACACCTAAACACTCCAATTTTACCTGTAAAAAAACAAAATACAGGAAAATACAGAATGGCTCATGATTTAAGTTAATGCGGTAGTGAAAACCGCCACAATGCCAGTTCCAAATTAATATACTGCATTACCAGCTTTACACCAAGAGAATAAGTGATTTTAATGTCTAGACTTAGTCAATGAATTTTTCTATTTAACACTGGCACCAAATTTGAAGGATGTGTTTTCATTTACCTTTAGGGGGCAGCAATACAGGTACACCAGAGTACCACAAGAATTAATATTGTCTGCAGGGTTGTTAAATCACGCCCTGCGAGGCCCGCTGAGTGATTGCCACTTGACAGAGGGGGTGTCACTATATATGATGGTGATATTTTACTAGCTGAAAAATAGTGGACACCTGATTGATTGGAAGTAAGCAGGTGTTATGACACTTATAGGGAACCAGATTTAAAGAAAGTAAATAAAATTATAGTTGAGTAGATGACACGCCACAATATTGGGACGAGTGGTGTCTGGGATAAGTGGAGTGATTAAGTGTTTAATGAATAACAATCTAGAAACAAATATATGTTGTGGGAAAATTAGATTAGATAATGATAAACACTGGAATAACAAATATTTTAAATCAGTGGAGTGGGCACTGGGCCTGAAACATGAGCTGCGTCCCAAATCGCATACTTATGCACTATTTTACGCCATTTTGTAGTATAAATAGTGTAAGTAGTGTGTTCACATTGAAAACTCTCAAAATAATAAGTGCACTTTAATTACCCGGATGATGCACTCATTCAGCCGCTAAAATGAAGTGTGTAATGATGGACACTTCACGCACTCAACGACCGCAGGTTTGCTTACGTAGCGGAAGGGGCGGAGCAATCGGGCGCACATGTTGAATAACTTTATTTATTTTGGATGGTGAAAGCAAAATTCTCCTACGAGAGTGATTATAGCGCCTCCCGATGGTGAATGCAGCAATACTCACGGCAGGTATTACTTGATAATTCAGTCGTTTATTTCACTGATTTGGCAACAGTCAAACGTCTTCAGGGAAACGGTTTGAATTTCCGCTTAGTAAAAATACATTAGTGTGCCATTTGGGACGACACTACATACATATACTATCCTGTTGAGTGTGTAAGTGCATAAGTACATAGTGCATGAGTGCATAGTGTATAGTGTGCCATTTGGGACGCAGCTATGATTTTAGAAAGGGTGTAAAAAATAATAATTACAGGGAAATGTCAAGAGAATTAACAGAAATTTGAAAACAAAACTGGCAAAAAATCTGTGCACAGACCAAAAGGAAATAAAATAAAAATCATATTAAGGGATTTTAGTTTATTATGGAAAAAAAAAATGGAATTAATGACTTTTAAATTGTTTAAAGGACTGCAGTTTCGGGTACCTGGTGCAGCTTTGATGTGCACTAAATCATTTATGTAGAGATTATATTATGACAGATTAACAACTTTATTCACAATTTTTTCTAAACAGGTTGCTGAAGGTGTGAGGCTGTCCGGACTAACTTGACAGTCAACATAGGGGTGTAAAAGCGGCCTGGACCTACCTCCAGGCCGAAAGGGGGAGATTAATTAACAGATGACTAATTGGGGACAATTTACTAATTGGAGTGTGTAAGCATGTATTGGTGCAGGAGATGAACATGCTGCAACACCAATGCATGAGGCCAACTGTATATTAGATACAGGCCAACACAAAAAGGGGAACCAAATAATATGTTAAATTTTAAAATAGAAAGAAAAAAGACTGACTTACTAACACATGACAATCTGACAGAAAGTGTGTGAGTGACAATTTTAAGGAAAACAACATCAAAAGCATCTTGATGCCAAAAATTGTAAAGAAAGAATGAGAAAAAAGGGATATGAATTGGACAGGGTGTCAATAAATTGGACAGAGTTCCTCCAGACACTCCTGTTTCCCCCACAAGTCCAAAAACATGTGGTATAGGTGAATTGGATATGCTAAATTGGGTGTAGTGTATGTGTGTGATTGAGTGTGTATGGATGTTTCCCAGTGATAGGTTGCAGCTGGAAGGGCATCCGCTGTGTAAAAATATGCTGGATAAGTTCCACTGGGGCGACCCCAGATTAATAAAGGGACTAAGCCTTAAAGAAAATGAATAAATGAATTAGACAAATTAGATTGAAGAAAATTTAGAAAAAATAAAATAATAACAGGTCTATAACCACGGCCCTAGAGGGATTGAAAATACTCTCAAAAGCGATGGCAGAACACTTTGGTATAGATAACCTCTTTGATGAATGGATGACCCGTGTGTTTGGAAAATATAAAACTATGATAACTTCAGTTTTCATCTCAATTGCTACCTTTGTAGCTATAATGGTGACATGTGGATGTTGTTGTGTCCCATGCATCAGGTCATTGTGTAATAGGGTGATAGTAACAGCAATTGAAAAGGAAGATGGGCCACCACCCCCTTACACAATGGCAATATTAATATCTGCTGAAAAGGAGGAAGAGGAGGAAAGCCGTGTGTAAATGTCTCTCTACTAACTGTGTTTTTTCCGCAGATGCTGATTCATCATATATTTTGTGTTATAAGAAATGTTAAGTAGATATTTTGAGTCTAAAAGGAATCTATCGAAAAGTTTAGCTTAGATATATTTTTTGTTGTTTTGTTTTGTTTTTTGTTTTGTGTGATTGACTCAGCTGACTTGTTGTGGTCGCCCACATGTCAATTAGGGGACCGACTGGGTGTCTTTCCCCACAGGGGTTTTCGGCCCAGTCCTGTCTGAGCACACTGGTTTAAAGGGCATTTATAGGGATTTTTATTTCTGAAATTTAAGAGTGTACAATGTAGACTAGGGTAAAATGTTGATCTACCATAGCAGTCTGATATGATGCCTCAGATGAACATGTGGTGGCTGCCCATACATCAACTAGGGGGTCGCATGGGTGTCTTTCCTCAGAGGTTTTCGACTCAGGCTCATCTGGACGTATTATGCTGAAAAGAATTTTTATTTTATTTTATTTAACACATAGACCTAATTGTGGTAGTTTAAAGATTTATTGAATACAATAGGGTGTGGCCTCTTTCAGAGGCCAAGAGAGGGATTTGTGGTGTTTTTATAATTTTGACATGTTTTCCATGCATAAGAAGGCTTAAACAATTAACCTATAAAGTGTTAATTATTGTGAAACTGTCAGAAGTGTTGCAAACGGCTAAGTGCTGCAAATTGCATGCACAAAATACAGAAGTGTCACAAGGGTGCAAAGAAAGGGCAAAGAGTTCTGAGAATGGACAGGATGTATGAGCTGTGTGTGTGTTAAGAGGAGACATTTGCCTTAAAAGGTTAACTCTTAAGAGAAGATGCACGGAAGACAACTGTGGTATAAAAGGATGTGTCTCTGAAGGACAGTTCAGAGTTGAACCTCTCCTGCGCAGTGTATTGCTTTTGGTTTCTTT